CGGCGACGACAGACGCAGATGATGGCTATATGTACAGACACATCTGTGTCTGTACATAATAAGAAGGGGGAGGGAGTACTCTAAGTTGAAGTTTGAAGTAGAAGAGAGGATAAGAAGGAGAGGGAGTACTCTAAACTGAAGTATGAAGTAGAAAAGAGGGTAAGAAGGAGAGGGAGTACTCTAAATTGAAGTTTGAAGTAGAAGAGGGGGTAAGAAAGGGGAGGGAGTACTCTAAACTGAAGTATAAAATAGAAGATAGAGTAAGATGGCAAGGGAGTACCCTAAACTGCCACTCCACCAGGTCTGTTCCTGTAATCATCTCTGTCACTGGGTGCTCCACCTGGAGACGTGTGTTCATCTCCATGAAGTAGAAGTTTTGGTTCTTGTCCATTATAAATTCTACAGTGCCTAAAAAAAATTTTTTTTAATTTAAAAGATATGTTATAAGTCAAATGTTATAATTCTTTGAAATTTTGTCTTTCTTCAAAACAGTTTTGTATTAGGTATGGTAATTCTTCGATCTTTTCGATGGGGAAAAATAATTATCTTGACGGGAAATCCATTTTCATCGATTATATCAAAATTCGACATCGTCCTCTTGCTCTGACCGCTCGCATCGAAAATTGCAAAACAAAATCCAACTTTCTTGTGTTGTTACACTTACCAAGGGATGTCTGTGTGGTGCATGCATAATACCCATAAAAAATGAAGTTACAGATCTTGCAGGGGTGGGATTTTCAAGTTTGCATTGTCGGGCATCTAATGTTTTCTGTCGGAAGACGGTCAAAAATGGAGGATAGATCAACAAAGATAATTTGGAAGACTGTCAGAAAATATTTCTGGATCCGTTCCTGTCTTGGTACTGTGACCACATACAAGCCAAGGGTCTTTAAGAATCAACTGAGCCACATGCTGAATACAGTGAAGTTAGGGAAGGCTATGTTAAATGGAGTTGGGTAATTTTAGTTTTGCCTCAATGTGTTGCACTAAAAAAAGCAGCAAAGGATCTGGCGTCTGTTGATGTTCTTTTTACTTTGTCTGTAACAGTCTTCCATGACTTTTTTTCTAACTTCAGTGACAATAGAAGTGATGAGACTATGGTTGCCATGAGTGGTTACCGATGTAGAAATATGCAATATGTCAGGAAGTATGATGTTTAAAGTCTCTGAAAATGTATAGTGTGTTTATTTTAAATAATGCAATGAATAGCTTGAGGCTACTTTTGCAGTGGCACTGGACATAAAAGAACTGTCTTCTTTTGCCGGAGGTCATTATCTTTCATTGTTTGATGCTTTAGTAATATTTTAGCCATTTAAATATCTTTCAGATATATCCATGATTAGCAGATGATATGGGGACAAATAGTGCACATGAAATGCAGCAACAATGCATTCTCTTAAAAAGTAATTTGCAAAATCTTCGTTACCAGGCATTGTGAAAATATACTTGAAGTTGAGGACAAATTCATCATTAAATTAAATGTGCATTTCGTAATACCTCTAAAGTGTGTGTAGTCTAATTTGTTAACATTAAAAACATGTAAATATTATATAAAAGCATTGTTATTCTAAACAAGGCAGCAAAGTTTTCAAATGTACAGACAAAAAAACAGAAAATAAAGATGCAGAAAATAAGTCATTTTGTCAATTTTGATGCAATAATAAATAATGCTTATAACAGCACAATCAATCAACACTGAATTTTAATCATGCACAACAGATAACATGGACAATAACAGGAGCAGATCCAGAGATATTTTCTGACAGTATTTCATATGATTTTTGTTGATCCATCCTCCATTTTTGATGGTCTTCCAACAGAAAAAAATAGATACCCATCAATGTAAATTTTAAAATCTGACCGTCTTCTGGAAATTCCAGAAGACCGTCTCAATCTGCCCCTGCAATAAGATTACAGTTTCAGGACCATGAGAGTTCATATTCGCATAATGAAAATCCCAATATTTGAAAAATGATGACAGTACATAAAATAATATTACATGATGTTTAAGGACATAAATACCAATACAACTGCTTATTGGAAATACAGAAAATGTGCAGAGGTTCGAGTGGATGGGAGTTAAAAGTCACACCTTGAAAATGCCAGTGTTTGAAAAATAATTAAAAAGAAAACATAAAAATATTCCTATAAAGCTGCTATTCAAACTTTTAATCTTGCTGTATTAACATGATATGAATAACCCCTTTGTGTTTGAGGATAATAAGGCACTGTTATTCATCTATAGCATTAAAGGGATAACAACTGTTTGTTTTGGGCAAAAAATGAATTTTCCTGGGGTAAACAGCAATTTTCTCATACTTACCAACGGTTAATGAATCCATTTCTACATTCAAAGTTAGTCCCTGTTTTTTTTTTCTAAAAAGTTTTTTTTTTTTGTGATAATCTCTTAAGAGATTATTACAGAGTATAGGCATGTATTTATTGTGAAATATATAAATCACGCAAAGAAATGTTATCCCTTTAATATTGGCATTACACAAAATTTTATTTTTGAAACTTATTTGCAATATTAAACATTTACCTGCATATTTATCACTGCTTCCCTATTATGGACACTGTTATCTGGCAAAGAGCTTAACCTATGGGAATTTACAGGGAAATCTCAACATGTGTGTTTTATGTAATCCCATTTAATGGCCACTTGAAACTGAATTAGGCAATTTAAATTATTGTTTTTTTTTTTTTTTAATCAAGAGCTTATAAAATATGTAGGTATTACCTCCAATATTTCTGTGACTGTCAGTTGATGGTGGTGACTGACAGTCACAGAAATATTGGAGGTAATACCTACATATTTTATAAGCTCTTGATAAAAAGAAAAACAACTAGAGGATCAGAGAGGCTATACCGCCTCCGAATATTGTACCACCAGCTGGAGCAAGCGCATTCGTATAGACCCCCCACATACACAAAATAAGGGACACAGCCACCAGTCTTATGCTTGACAAGCTATAAAAATGCAATCAACAAGAATTTTCAAAATACGCAAAAAATATATATAACTTAAAATGGTACAATCAAAGTTAAGTTAAGGTAGGTCAAAGGTCAATTTCAAGGTCACAGTAAATTGCCAGTATATGACTTTCTATTCAACTTCAATAGTAACTATGGACCTATCTCTGCCAGGTTTGGAGTTAAAAGAGAAA